TATTAAAGATGTGCTGTTCAATTGTTATAGAAGATCATGTAAAAGTAAACTTGAACTCACTATAGAGATAGATGATAGATTGGGGATAGATATAGATAGATAGATAGATAGATAGATAGATAGATAGATAGATAGGAGACTATATAAAGCAAAAACCTTAGCAGCATTCTCTCCATGATAAAAACAAGGCCACCTTACTTTCAAGACCCCATGAAGGTATCCCTTTGATGATGATAGCACCTGACTCCTTCAGGTGCTTTTACAAATTCAATCTTGGTCTTTCTTGGGGATGTGGGAAGGTTACCTTTATATTCAGTGTGTCACTTCAGACTGTTCTGGGAGCCATGTAACCATTGTCTATTTATATACCATCTTCTGGTGTGATAGAGCCAGGTATAAGTTGTAAATTAATTTTATCAGGGTATAAATGTATCATACCCTGCAAACATTTACTCAGTAACATAGGAGCTAGTTCAAACCTACTCTATCTTATGTGGCATAATCAGATCTCAGAGATAACTGAAATTATTTGCTTTTGCTTTGATCTAGGCCACTACAGTTGTTTAGAAATGTTCTGAAATCCAAGGTCAAAGCTCTTGAGTCACTTAGAGCATACTGTTGGTAGATTCAAAACTCAATAAATTATTTTTCCTTATATTCAACAAAGTCTGAACTTACTCTATAACTTAATTTTCTGCATATTAGGAACAAGTACACATTTTTTGTTTTGTTTTGTATACCTGTGTCTATTGTTGCATAACAAACTATTCCAGAACTCAATAGCTTAAAACAACCATCTTATTTGCTCATTAATTTGCAGATCAGAAATCTGCACTGAGCTTATCTGATGGTTTCTTCTGCTAGTCTTGCTTAAAGTCATTTAGATAGCTGGAATTAGCTTGTAAGTAAGCTGTGGGATGATTTTCCTGTAGCCAGCATTGCCAGAAATTGCAAATAAAATTATAGGATGTCCAGTTAAATTTGAATTCCAGATAAATAATAACTGTTTTAGCATAAGTATTTCCCATGCAATATTTGAGGCAGACTTACACTGAAAATTTTTTTTTATTTTCATATGAAATTCAAATTTAAGTGGGAATCCTATAGTTTATCTGGCAGTTCTTTCTAAGGGTCCCCAGTTGGAACAGTACATGTCTGTTCCATATGGTCTCATCCTCCAGCAGGGTTAGCCTGCGTTTTAGTGCTTGGTGAGTTCAGAGCAGAAAGAGGGCGAGCCCCACTAAAAATGCACTGTTCAAAACTCTTCATGAGTCGTGTTTGCTAATGTTTAAACTGACCAAGGCAAATCACATGGCCAGGACCAGAGTCAATGTGGGAGGGAACTACACAATGGTATGGAACAAGAAGCATGCTTCTTTGGGAGTCATTACTATAATATTTTCTTAGAGGTTCTTCTTTATTTTTAATTTTTTAAATCCTCACCAGAGGATATTTTTCCCATTGACCTTTAGATAGTAAAAGGGAAGAAAAGAGGAGAGGAGAGGAGAGGAAAGAAGAGGAGAAGAAAGGAAAGGAGAGGAGAGGAGAGAGAAGAGAAGAGAAACATTAATGTGAGAGAGACACCACTACTGTTTCCTCCTGCATGCACCCCACCACGGCCAGAAATGAACCTGCACCTGAGATATATTCCCTTGACTAGGAATCAAATCTGCAACTCTTCAGTCTACTCTAACCACTGACAAAAACCAGCCAGGGCTTAGAGTTTCTTCTAATTATCTTTCTCCCTTTATTTGCCTCTAGTTTTTATAACCTCTCAATTCATTTTACCCAGTCCCCTTTTGTTCATGAATTCACCCACTATCCCAAATCCTCTGTCATCTTGCTCCATTTTGATCTAGCAGACTGTTCAGCTGTCATCTTAAAACCAATCTTTATTGCGTTCCCAAGTTAGGATCACAATTTCCTTGATTCCATACTTAGTGTTGATGTAATTAGTATCTTTTTTGTTAGAGTACATGTTCAAATAATTTCCCAAGATAAAGTCCACAGGAGGTAAATTTTCTGAGCACTTTAAGTCCTGAAAACAGCTTTATTGTCACCACATACCTACTTTATGTTTAGAGGTAGAATACTAGAGAAAAGCATATTTTCTAAGGATTTGAGAGCATTTATACATTGATGTTTAGGATGCAGTGTTATGAATAAGAAGTCTATTGCCAGTCTGATTTGTAGATGACTTTCCCCTTAACCTCAAAAGATTTTAGGATCTACTTTTAATCTTTATTACTCTAAAATTTCTTGAGGCTATGTCTAAGTGAGGGTCCTTATTTATTGAATGTATTGGGCACACAAAGCACATTTCCTTTTCATTAAAAAAAAAAAAAACAGAAAAAATAGTGAGGATCTATGTATAATTCATCCACAATTAACAACAAACAACACTTTGTTGTATTTGTTTAAAATATTTTTATTAATAGATAAAATTAAGCTACATTGTTAGAGTCACATTTTCCTCCAACTCTTCCAATTTATATTGTAAAATCAATGTGCATTTTTCCAGTAACCATTTGTAATTTTGCTATAAGGATATGTATCCATAATAATATATAGTATTGTTTTATATGTTTAAAATTATATAAATGGCATTGTATCTTTTTACAAATGCTTATTTGACCCATTAGGTTTCTGAGAATTGTCTAGACTGATTAATAATTTATCAATTCTGTTATATAAATACTAGAGGCTTGGTGCATTAAATTTGTGCACAGGGGTGTGTGTCCTTCAGCCCAACCTGCACCCTCTCCAATCTGGGACCCCTGGAGGGATGTCCGACTGCCCATTTAGGCCCAATCCCAGTAGGATCAGGACTAAACAGGTAGTCAGACATCCCTCTCACAATCCAGGCCTGCTGGCTCCCAACTGCTCGCCTGCCTGCCTTCCTGATTGCCCCTAACTGCTTTTGCCTGCCAGCTTGATCATTCCCTGACTACTCCCCTGCCAGCCTGATTGATACCTAATTGCTCCCGTGCCAATCTGTTTGCCCCTAACTGCCCTCCCCTGCAGGCCTGGTCACCTCTAAATGCCTTCCCCTGCAGGCCTGGGCCCCCGCAACAGCTCTCCCCTGCAGGCCCGGTCACCCGCAACTTCCCTCCTCTACTAGCCTGGTCACCCCTAACTGCCTTCCCCTGCAAACTTGATCACCCCCAATTGCCCTCTCCTGCTGGCCTGATTTCCCACAACTGCCCTCCCTTGCAGGCCTGGTCCCTCTCACCAGCCCTCCCATGCTGGATATCTTGAGGCGGCTATCTTGTGTCACATGGGGGCAGCCATCTTGTGTGCTGGAGTGATGGTCAATTATTAGCATATTACTCTTTTATTAGATAGGATAGAGGCCTGCTGCACGGGTGGGGGCTAGTTGGTTTGCCTTGAAGGGTGTCCTGGATCAGGGTGGGAGTTCCCTTGGGGTTTGGGGCCACCTGGGAGAGGGCAATAGGCACAGAAGCATTACTGCCCAAGGGAAGCTTCCTGTCCACTGAGCTGGCCAGAGCTTTGAGGAGCAGGGCCATTGCCCGACATACCCAAAACATGCAGGGAACCTGGCTTTGGCGACACAGGGTCTAAGGTGCATTGACATGGGTCTGGAAATGAGTTGCCCATTTCAATGAAGTGGTTCAGTAGTTAGGGCTGGGCCCTTCTTTCCCTCCAAGGGGTGTTGGGAGCTTGGGTGGAGGGGAGGATGTGTCTCTTGATCAATGGAATGGCCACAGCCATCCCAAGCACCCTGGGTGTCTGCCCTATGACCCCGACAGGAAGTTGGTGGAGAACTCCACTCTCCTCTGCCTGGATCCCACTGAAGGTACCAGGGATGGTGCAGAAAGGTAGTTCCACCAAACCAACACTTCTCACTCTGCCAGGAATTCGGTCTTGGGATCCCAAGTAAAGGAGGGGTTCTGGAAGTAGTTTTAACAGCAGCTTCCCAGAAGACAGTGACACAAAGTAGACACTCAGCAATCGTCCATTAAGTGTGCAGGGATGGCTTGCCCAGTGGCCCTCGAGGATGTGCAGACAAACCCAAGGATACTGACATTCCTCTTTGGCTGGCAGTCAAGGAAAGACACCTTCATCAAGGGATTTTTGTGCCAGGTGCCAGGTGCCAGGTGCAGGCACTGTGCTCCTGCTTCACAGGCGTTGTCTCTTTCAGTCCTCCCAACATTTTATCCTAATTCCACCAAATCCCTTCCACGCCCTCACCTTCCCTCAGCCTCCAAGCCCTTGCTGAGGCTTTCCTGAACACTGCAGCCCATCTCTACCCCTGTCTCCTGTGGGCACTGATAAGAGTGCATTTGTCAGAGCAAACGCCTTCCTTCCCCACTCCCTGACCCAGTTAGCATTTATCCTGTAGTTTTGACTTTCTCTTCACGCACACTGTCAACTCAAGGACAAGTACCATGTCTCATTTTCGCCAGTCAAAGCACACAAGTTTATTGATGAAACATACAAATGCAGACTTGGGTGGGTGAGGTTAAGTCGGTACAGAACATAGAAAGGGAGTGCACTTTTCTGATGAATGGGTTCACCATCCATCAGCTGGTGTAGAAGAAAGAGTGAGCAAAAAAAGAATTCGACCTATGCAACAACAAAAGCACTTTCAGCACAAGCTCCGATATGTGTCTGGTCTCCGGAGAACAGTGGAGCTTAGTCAGGGAGACCACAGCAAGCATCCTTCATGATGCTTTATCCATAGCTGGCAGCTGAAATGAGCCCTTTACCACAGGAAGAAGTAAGGAAGTAACTTACAATGCACTTTACCTGTAGACTGCAAAACCAGAAGTTACTCAAAGCTCAGTGGGAACACCTGCCCCACCAATAATAATGTGGTCCCTGATTCAGCAAGTGTGACTTTCACCCCATGAGGTGGTGATTGGCTAAGGCAGGATCTTCTACAGCACCCACTGCAGAGTCTTTGGATGAGAACACGAGTGCGTGTTCACCAAATGGGTTTGGGGCTGATTGGGTCCCGTTCTGTCTGAGATGGTCTTTTAAGAGGCCAGGGTATCCAGGAGACCCTGCCTGTTTCCATTCCTGATAAAGAGGGACATGAATGAGAGCAGCTTTTGGGGACCCAGCAATTGCCCTGCCAAGAATGGTTTTTCAGACAAACCCACCAACGGTTTCAAAACATGAACCCCAGCACATCCACTTCCCTCTGATATCAAAGGAAACCTCAGGTCTGAAACGGATTTGGCAAGCATGTTATTAATAACTGTCATGCTTATTAACAAATTTAATCTGGCCTGCTGCAGAAATGAGTTGCAGCAATGTGACACAGTTTCCTGACACACTTCACTGATGTACATCTTAATCTGGCCCTGATTTTCCACACTGGCACTCCCATTATCCAGGGCACATAAAGCCTGCTTAACAGTGGGCTCGGGAGTGAGGATCGTGTTTCCAACAATGGAGAGGCTGGCCAAATGACTATTGGTATTGTGGCCAAATGAAAAACCAGCATCCTTGGGCGGAGCAAACACTTTCCCCTGAATGACAGGGCCCTTGGAGAGGCCAACAGCACTACTGAAAATTTTAAGGCTTTCAGCACCCCAAGTATTTTTATATTTATAGGGAAATGGACGCTGTCTTGTTACGTGTGTTCGATTGGCCTTGCCCCCACCTGAGAGCCTGTCCTCTGTTCCATCAGGAGCTCCAGGTTCAGTCCAGTCCCCATCCTCATTCCAGGGCCCAATCATAGTTATAAAATCAAACCACATCTGGGACTCCTCTTCATCCAGCTCTTGGTTGTCTTCCCAGTCCTCTTCCTCCTCCTCCAGCTTCTCACTGTCATCTCTTCCTATGGTTAGTTTGTAAACGCAGTAGCAGGCACCAGCTCCAATCATTAGTCCTGCTGCCATCCAGCCAACTTCCCGAGCCCGGCCCATGTTCAGGTCCATGCCAGCCTTATGGAAGGATAGGATAGGGCTAGGGTCTGTAATGGTGGTGAGCAGTGATCTTCAGCCTCTCGCAGACGCCTGTAGCTCTCTTGTAATGAATCTATGGGTGAAAAAGTAATTTTAGTGCCTTGGGCTGAGCCTAAGCTTGTGCCTCACCAAATAAACAGAGTGGATTGATTTAGAGAGGTGGTTTATTAGAAAACCATTTCTTTGATTTTTGTGTGTGTGTATTATCTCTCTACCCTCAGGACCCACTATTTCTCTTCCAGTCCCCGCAGAGAAGGGCAAGGTCGTGCTATGATAGCCAGTCAGATGACACAGAGAGGATAACCCTCAGGTAGTCTCCTCCCCCATCACACTCCTATCCCCAAACTTCACAGGAAATTTCTCCCACCAACCTCCACCAAAGTTAGGTAAATTCCTTCTTCTCCTCTTCTGTTGTCAGTGCTCCTTCCACAGTGCTTGATGGATAGTCTAGCAGAATGACAGATGGAAAGATAGCCAGTAATGAAGAACTACAAGTATAGTGGACGGAACAACACTGATAACACTGTTCACAATGCTTGCTTTTCTGAATTTTCAGCCTTTGAGTTGAAAATACCTCACACCCTTCGAGCTTTCCTTTATGCGGGGGTTCTCCGCCCCCTCCTCCTTGTGGTCAGCCATTTCCACAGCAAAGGCTGCCACACCCCTTTCCCTGCACCGAAATGGGAGGGGGTGTGGAGAAAGAAGGGGCCTGGAGAGGGCGACTGAGACTGGCGGCTCTGATCCCAGCCCTCTTTCCTCCGCTACCCCTTTCACCACCAAGGATCCAGGGCTCATCCCACCTTCACACCAACAGGCAGTGTCCCAAGACAGTTTGCTGCTCCCCTCGCCCAGGCTTTTGTGGTGATCTCTGGGCCAACAGACCTAAAAACCTGCCGACAGACAGGGAACTGAGGAGACGGAGTTCTTGGTGGACTGAGAAGCACTCAGAACAAGAGTGCCCCGATTGTGTACCTTTGCTTTCCTTGCAGTCTTAGTAACCGCCATTCACTCCCCTCAGCCCCAGCCCCCTCCCCTCATCCAACACACACACACACACACACACACACACACACACACACACACACACTGCCTGAAGTCCGACAGTTCTCTATTTAAATGGGCACGCTTTGGGAGGGTTGGAGGTGCTCTTCAGAAAGTAGGTAAGAAAGGGGCACAGACCCAATCTGCCTGAACCTGGATCCGTGGCATTCTTGGCCCTCTCCCACCACCACCTCTCTCCAAGCTGAGCCCCCACTCCCACCGACCTGGACAATCCGAGGCTAGTTTCCTCCTTCCTTCATAAGCCTGCAGAGTAATAGGGGGGCTGGTACCCAGACAGAAGAGACTAACAGGGAGTTGCGCTCTAGGCAGCTCTTGGTCACGTGATGATCACGTCACCAGTGAGCTCTGGCCCCCAATTTCCACTCCCATAAGCTGTGCGGCAGGCGCCAGCTTGCCCCGTACCTCCCCCATCACACTGGTCTCCGCCACTCTTTTCCTCTATAACAATAGCAGAAACCAGAAATGGTCATAGCTTTCTGGTATTTGAATTGACCTTTCTCTAATTACAGGAAGGGGCAGCACCTTTTCTTGTGTCTACCGTTTACGTATACTTCTTGGAGAAATGTTTTATCCGTTTCCTTAGCTCCAAAACTCTCGTCTCCCCTCCCTTAATATCTACCCTTTTACACATGCAATCACTGCACCAAAATTATGTGTGTGTATGTAGTCAAAAAAGGAAACCCAAGTAGTAGGGAGGTTTTTATTAATATTTTTATTCACTTATATTCCATTTTTTCTTTCCTTCATTTTTTATTGACTTAAGTGACATTATTTTGTAATCAGAAAATACAATAAAGTTATGCCACTTAGAAAAAAAAAAGAATTCAAGTATCTGTATCTATATTTATAAAGATTTACCAGTTAGTAGGGAGGCCTCATTGATTTGGTTAATTTGTACTGCATTAAGAATACTTTCTCTGCACAGGAAATAGCAACTTTCAAACAGCATATTAAAATTTAAAAACATATCCTAATAAACAAAACCAGCGTGTTTTTATATGATTTATAAATTGATGGGCAATATGAATCTATACTGAGGTGGTCAGCATTATAATTATGACTATTTTAAATAAGTGAACCACTGTCTCTTCTTCCTGGCTGAACTCATAGTTTTAGGTATCACATTACTGAGATCTTCATAGAAGATTATTGGATGGCTATCAAAGGGCAGACCCCAAATTCAAATGAATCATATATCTTCAAATGTACCTTACAAATTAGTAACTTCACAGATTAGCCTACTTCTCATTCAAAGGTCTTTATTTAAAATCTATTCTGGTGGTCGCTTCGGCAGCACATATACTAAAATTGGAACGATACAGAGAAGATTTGCATGGCCCCTGCGCAAGGATGACACGCAAATTTGTGAAGCGTTCCATATATTTTTAAAAATCTATTCTTAAGTTGCATGGTGTAACCCATAAATCATCCAGAAATTAGAGAATTCCCTTTCATCCCATTGATAAAAGTGAGATTCAATCGATGGACCTTTCATTTAATTATGAGCCTGGTGTGATATCTCTGGTGTCTATCATTCATGTGCTATGTTGTCCAAGCAGTGGTTAGTGTTGTGAATCTTCCTGTGGAGATAGTCATGAGGGTCTGTGGTGTCTGAAAATCACTGCAACACCCCTGAGATCCATGTAATTTTCCCCTCACAAAAAACACAGTTCACAGAATCCCAAGCAGTTTGCAGAAGAGACATTTTCATTCCCTGTCTTTTGTTAAAATTTCACTGAACCACCCCTACAAGCCCCCCAGAATAATCCCAGAACTCTGGGACAAAGTATGCAGAAATTAGTCCCCAGACATCCAGCTGTCTCTGCTGGGGAGTCATATGCTAAATATAGACCCTTTAGGCAGTCTCCTTCTTAGAACATTGAAATATGACACCCCAGCAGGAAGCTCCCCAAGTGAGAGGCCCTGTGGGGTGAGGCCTTTTCAGGAGATGACCAGGGAGCCCAGAGTGCCTTGCTGGTGAATATTCAGAAGTCAAGAACAGGTCACAACTTTCCAGTTTTCCTCAAACTTTTATAGTGCAAACTCACTCACCAATCATACTCTCTCTCTCTCTAAACCCCTACCTCATTTGTTTTGCCCTCATTGCCTTATACTGTTCTTTTTCTCATCCTTTATTTTATCATAGACAAGTGAATTTTATTTATTAAGCTGTATAAATAGAACTTGAGGGTTCAACTGTCCCTCATTCAATTTTTGGCTACTAAATACTTATGTAAGTGACTATTATTTGTTTTGAATATATGCATGAGAAAGAATTTAAGGACAAAGCTTAAATTAACAAAGCTTCAAGGACAAAAATTCCACTCTTCCTCTCCTTACTAATATACAATAACTCCCTCCTTTGGCATATTTTCCAATTGTCCCAGAGTATAACCCCTGACCACCATTTTCCCAGTCTGTCAGACTTTTCCTGTTTGAATCCACTCCCTTTTTAATACTTCCTAAACCCCATGGGAATAATAACCCTTTCAATTCTCTTACTTCTTTGTCATTTTGATTTACAATTCCTACCAAGGAAACTTGGGAATAGCTCTTAAAATCTACTTTGCTATCCATTATACATTCACCACAAATATTTAAGGGCATGCTATCTGCCTGACCATTTCAAAAGCGAAAAAGGAAAATACCTAAGCATTTCCTTAGACATGCCTGTTGAAAATTCCTGAGCCTGCAAAAAGCTATGGGAACTCAATGTCTAAAGGACCCTTTTGGTTTAAATCAGTATGTGGTCATATATGACCTGTAACTTACAAAGTGTCTGAAAAAAAAGATAGGCAGATGATAACAGTAAAGACATTGTAGAAGGTGAGAAAAATAAATTATAGGATATTGTTATCTTAACAATCTATATATTTTTTTGGTATTATGTTACTTGTTTCTACATTGTGTATTAGTTGATTTTGTTTGGGTGCAAGCAACAGAAACCAAACCTGGTGAACGTAAACAATGAGAAAATGTTGAAAACCAGGATCAGCTCTGTGGGGTCTAGGCAGGAGGAACTGATAGTCTCTTTAGAGTGCCATAATTCCCCCAACTTGCGATTTTTATGATGGTTCAAGATTTAAATTTTAGTTTTCAATTGGTCTGTATTGTGTGCAATGCCTACTCATTTGCTGCAGAAAATGAAGAGTATGTAAAATACACTTCCTTTCTTTTCCGAGAAAAATTTAAACGGTTACAAATGTTGTTGATTTGCAGGAGCCTTTTAGTAATTTTGGATACTAAACCATTGTCCAGCTGTGACTGAGGTGCTGGGAGCCCATTTGCCACAACATGCCTTGATTTTCACATTAACTAAACATTAAAGAGGTAAAATTCTAAAATGGTATGCGCAGGTTGTCTTCTAAGCCAAAGCTACCTGGTTCCATGAAAGGATTCCACGGAGTTGCATCTGCAGTTCAGGATCTTGTCCTCATTGTTGCATGATCAACCACTGATTTGGTCTGTATGCTGAGAGCAGATGTTTCTGTCAAAAAAGACCCTCATTCATAGAGACTGGTATATAAATCTAGATCTGAATGCCCAAACCATGGATCTCTGCATTCTTTCCTTGAAATCAGGCCATAAGGGAAGTTGTCTCAGTAGGAGTTATGACTGAATAGTTTACCCCGAGAAATAAATTTGTCAGGGGTACCGGAGGTTTCTGTCAGTTTTACCAGTCCGCTCTTTTCCTGTAGGCAAACTACTACTTGGGAAATCATACCTCAGGAAGTTGCTTATGAGCCTGAAACCAGATCAAGAATCTTGGTTCGTCCTAAGAGATGGCTTTCAGCTAAGGAAGCTTGAAGTACTCTTGCACATCTTGGGGATAGCTCTGCCAAGAAAAGCTAAATGATCAGGGGCATAGAATGGGAGGGGATTGATAATTCTCAGGGGGAAAGGGGTGTCTGTGTGGGGGGTACAAGGAAGAGACTGGACAAAACTCATACACCTATGGATGAGGACAGTGGGGAGGGGAGGGAAGAGGTAATGGGAGAAGGTGGGGTGGGGATCTGGTAGAGAAGAGCTATTGAGGGGGGGGAGGGAAGGAACAATTGTAATAATCTGAACAATAAAGATTTATTAAATTTAAAAAAAAAGAAAGAAAAGCTAAATGTTCCAGTCATCTTAGCCAAGACTCCCTCTCCTCTAGACAGTGCTTGGGTGGGACCTACTAAACTTTCTTCTGACTCTCCTTTTTATATATCTCATGTTTAAATAAGCCCCCTCACTGCATATGATCTTTCTTTAAACACAGAATCATATAGTTGATTTGATTTCTTTTTACTAAATATCAGTCATTTTTCTAGTACTGCCTCCCAAAAGTTACAGTTATATGAATTTCCCTGGAGTTTTGCCTCTTCCCAAACTTTCTGTCTCTTGATTTACTCCCATATTGTCTAACAATTTAAAAACTTATACTCAGATAATAACCTTATATCTGAACTATTAGGGAATATCCTACAGCAGACTCCATATTCTGACATTATTTTATTACTTTCTCCAATATAAAAATGTTCAATCATTGCTGCGGGAATTAAACCAGCCAGTGAAATAGTTTCCCAGTAACTGCTAGATCCTAGTTCAGCCAATTTTGTTTTGGTCTCAATGGTTCCTCTAACACCTATGTGATTTAAAGATGATAGTCTCTATTTGTACCCAAATATATTTTGTAATGTTCTTTGCCCCTCACTTTGTCAGTTGTGCACGCCTGTTTATCTGACAGCTAACTACTACACAGTTGTGGTTTCTACTCCACATTTTCTTTGTTATTGGCTCCTGAGGGCTCCATGCCTCTTCTTTGCTAACTGATGCAAGTGAGAGTCTGTAGCTCTCTTGTTTAGAAGACTTGCCTATCCAAAGGTTTATACAGTCTCAGACGCATTGATTAGCTCATATGGGGTTGTGTTCTCTGCGAGGCCCCAGAAGACATTAAGATTGCTCTGAGTGAAGTGTATAACACTCCCCACAGATGAGAAAATGTGGAACTTTTGGATGCCATCCACCCATCCTCTCTCTCTAACTCCCACTCTTTTTCCTTCTCAAATGAAAACAGATCTATAGTAATTTTTCTCAAGAAAAGAATGCAGGCTGGGGGTGGGAAAGGGCAGAACAAAAAAATATTAAGAAAGTAAAAACCTTACTCTCACTCCAGGTCTCATTTTCTGATGTTATTTTTTGGTTTCAGATCTAGGACTAGATTTCAGAGGAAATGGTAAGACATTAATAGCTGTGAGGAGGGGAGGTGGAAGGAGAGGTTGCTGATGTCCCAGGAGCCTAGAGAACGAAGAAGCAAATTTTTCAAAAAGTACAAGTGGCCAGCAGTCCCAGGGGAAGATGCTGTCTGTTTCTGGTAATCAGAGGAAGGCAAATTTAACTACAGGGAGATGGGATTAGCAAAGAAAGAGTAACAAGGCCTGGTATGGGGGAGGGAATGTAGGGGGGCGGGTCCTCTTCTGCCGCACTGCTGGTGGGAGGGGAAATTGGGGACCAGAGTTGGTGGATGACGTAGCTCTCACGTGACCAAGAGCTGACGTGTGCAGAAGTCCTTCTTGTTCTGGTCGTCTGAGTACTAGCTCCCCACTGCTCTGAGTGAGAGCGGGCCTGTGGCAGAGGGAAGAAAGAGGAGAAGGAAATTGTCCCGGATCACAGCAGGTCAGTGCTTGGGAGATTCCATAAAGTGGGGGCGGTCCAGAGAGTAGGGCGGAGACCGTCGCGGGTCCTGAGGAGCCTCTGTCGTCTTTCCCACTCGCCACTGGCTTTCCAGGATATCTGTCCCGCCTGCAGCCCATTTCGATGCTGCGAAATGGTGCCCAGGGAGGAGTTTGGGGAGCAGCCCAGAGATCAGAAGGTGGGAATCTGCTGGAAACCGAGACCATAATCCGGAAAGGGAGCTGTGGCCTTGGCATTGGCCCCCAGTCTTCCAGGACAGTTCCGACCTGGGAAGGTTGGGCTTGGAGAGTGAGGTGGGGGTGCAACGTGATATATCAGCAGAACCCGGAGAGGGGTGGGAAGGGTGGGAAACCTTTGACAACCAGGCCTCCGAATTAGGAAAGAATTTCATGTTCTGGGGACTGGTCCGTCCACCAAGCACTCGGTAGCTGCTGTTTCCCGTCTTTCTGACTGTGGCTCTGTCGTCCTGGCTGTTTAGTGGATCCGAGCCTCTCCCAGGTTGCCAGTCTTTCCGTAGTTTGTGGCACTACGCCAGACAAGTGAAGAGGAAGGAAATTAACCCTGATTAGTGAAGATCGATTTGAGGGTAAGGCCATCTGGGGACCCTAAGAGTGGCGGTGGGTGGGTGCGGGGAAGAAACCGGAGATGGCAATAATCTAGGTTAGGTCTAATTCTGAGTATGTTTTGTAGCGCTCTTGGGGCTGTGGCAAAATGGCATGCGTTGTGTGCTGTGTGTGTGTGTGTGTGTGTGTGTGTGGCGGGGGGCGGGGGTAGATAGGGTGGGAGAGAAGGATAGAAGAAAAACCTATCAGATAGTTTGTTCATAATCCTCCTCTCTCAACAGTAGTTAGTCTCCATATTTTCGATCTGTCATCCTGTAGGTCTGCTGTAGCAGGTGGCACCACTTGAAGCAAGGGAGGAAGTTTCCTTGGATCTGTAGAGGTCGATATGGGCGCGGGGGCTGATCGGAATGGGGGAGGGGCTGGAGATCAGCCATGTTGGACAGGCTCACCCAATCCTACCTCATTTTTCTAACATCCCTCCCATTTCAGGCTAAGGAAGGGGCAGGCATGTACATATTTTGGATGACATAGAGAGGTTTTGTTTTGGTGTGTGTGTTTTTAAATCTGACAACCTGGAAGTAAATCAGGAAAGCAAGGAATGAATAGTTAATCAAGCCCGCAGTTCTCACTGGTTCTGGTCTCTCTACAGATTGCAAGGATTGTTGGGTGTGGCACACTCCAGGGGAGGGAAGAAGGGGCAAACTGCCTGTCTGGAGGAGGTGAGTGTAAGATGCCATTCTCTGGGGACACCCTAGGTTGGGATGGCTGAGGCCCGAGCAGAGACTATGGGCTCCATTGCCTTTATCTAGGCTGGGGAGAGTTTGGCCTCAGGAGGGTAAAATGAGGGGGATAGAGAGTTTACTAACAATCTACATTTCCTACCAAGTACTCATTTACTACTCTCCTGTCCCTCTGTGCAAGTCCATGCATGGGGCAGCACAAAAAGAAGAGAAACTCAAACCCCATTTTCTTCCTCCACCTCCAGGTTCACTTCCGGTATCAGCTACTGTGGCCCTGAAGTGGCTGAAGACAAATACCCTCCACAGACCTGCACCCAGGCCCATAGTTCTCCCCGAGCCTGCGTGACTGCTCTGTTCCTTGGTCCCTGCTATTGTCAGGGACGATTGCATGGGCTACGCCAGGAAAGTAGGCTGGGTGACTGCGGGACTGGTGATTGGGGCTGGCGCCTGCTATTGCATTTATCGACTAGCCAGGGGAAGAAAACAGAACAAAGAGGAAATGGCTGAGGGTGGGCCTGGGGATGTGGATGATGTTGGAGATTGTCCTGGGGCCAGGTACAATGACTGGTCTGATGATGATGATGATGATGATAACAGTGAAAGCAAGGGAATAGTATGGTACCCACCTTGGGCCCGGATTGGGACTGAGGCCGGGACCAGAGCTAGGGCCAGAGCAAGGGCCAGGGCTACCCGAGCTCGAAGGGCTGTTCAGAAACGGGCTTCCCCCAACTCAGATGATACTATTTTGTCCCCTCAAGAGCTGCAAAAAGTTCTTTGCTTGGTTGAGATGTCTGAAAAGCCTTATATTCTTGAAGCAGCTTTAATTGCTCTGGGTAACAATGCTGCTTATGCATTTAACAGAGATATCATTCGTGATCTGGGTGGTCTCCCAATTGTTGCTAAGATTCTCAATACCCGGGATCCCATCGTTAAGGAAAAGGCTTTAATTGTCCTGAATAACCTGAGTGTGAATGCTGAAAATCAGCGCAGGCTTAAGATATACATGAATCAAGTGTGTGATGACACAATCACTTCTCGCTTGAACTCATCTGTGCAGCTGGCTGGACTCAGATTGCTTACAAATATGACTGTTACTAATGAGTATCAGCACATGCTTGCTAACTCAATTTCAGACTTTTTTCGTTTATTTTCAGCAGGAAATGAAGAAACCAAATTTCAGGTTTTGAAACTCCTTTTGAATTTGGCTGAAAATCCGGCCATGACTAGAGAACTTCTCAGGGCCCAAGTACCATCTTCACTGGGTTCCCTCTTTAATAAGAAGGAGAACAAAGAGATTATTCTGAAACTTCTGGTCGTATTTGAGAACATAAATGACAATTGTAAATGGGAAGAAAATGAACCTACTCAGAATCAGTTCAGCCAAGGTTCACTTTTTTCCTTTTTAAAAGACTTTCAAGTGTGTGCTGATAAGATTCTGGGAATAGAAAGTCACCATGATTTTTTGGTGAAAGTAAAAGTTGGAAAATTCACGGCCAAACTGGCTGAGAATATGTTTCCAAACAGCCAGGAATAACTTCTTGATTTTGTAGTTTAGAAGCAACACACATTGTAAACTATTCCTTTTCTCCACCTTGTTTATATGGTAAAGGAATCCTTTCAGCTACCAATTTTGAATATCATATTGTATCATCAAAGCTGATATTTATCCAAGTTGATCTTTAGGTCTAAGCTGGATGAATGAATGTCACTACATGTTCTGAAAAACATGTTTGTTGCTCTTTATCTCACTGCCTAGACTGAAATATTTTTACTATTTCTTCTGTATAAATGACAGTGAACCAATTCATCCTAAGTAAGTTCCCTCCTGTCATTTGCATTAACTTCATTTGTGTATCATCAATAAAGTTGTGTGTTAATGCTGGAAAGAAAAAAAAGAGAGAGAAGAAAGAAAGAAAGCATCTTTGCCCCTTTATTTATAATCTTTTGGAGAGATTAGAAACATACAAACAAAGTAACAGACTATCTGGGCTCATTGTCAAATATGCATATTCAGAGCACAGAGGAAGCAAAGGCTACTGTGGGGTACAGTAGTTAACTACAGATTTATGGAGGAAGTGACCATTTAGAGTCCTGAATGAGACAGGAGTGAGAGGGCACTGATGTGAGATAGGCACGGAGGTAGTAATGTTGTCCCGATGACAGTGAGAAACTAGTTTGCTTAGAGTAGAGCATGTAAGGAATGGAAGTAAATAAATTTGGAAAACTAAGTGAAGCCAGTTTGTGGATAGTTGTTTGAACATTATTCCAGTGAATACAAAAAGCCACTAAATATTTTTGACTGGAAATAATTGGAATTCATATAAAAGTCCCTCTCTCACCTACTGTGCAATGACCATGAAGGGGTGGCAAAACGGACACTTTTAAACCCTTATGGTAGGAATAAATTTACACTGGCACAAGATTTGTGGAAGGTCATATGATAACACATATACGCCTTAAAATCTGTAAGCCATTTGTCCTAAGAAAATAATTGAGAAATTGACCAAAGGCTACATGAACAAGGTTATGCATCCTAGCACTGTCTAAAATAGTAAATATTGGAAACAAGTGTCTAACACATTGGATCGGTTAAATAAATTAATGAATGTTCATATGGTATATGATAAATATGTTGATTTAAACCCATATTGCCAGGAAAAGATATTTATCATGCATTGTTAAGTGAGAAAGGCAGGTTAGATAGTGGTATTCATAGTATGATTTCATTTTTTTGAGAATAATAAAACATGTTTAAGTAGGCACTAAAATTCTTGAGTTATAGACATCCAAATATTAACAGAACTTATCTTTTGGTGGAAGGACAATGAGTGATCTTTTACCTTTTTACTTTATAATTATCAATGTGCTCTTACTTATCTAAGATGAATATTGATTTTTTTGGAAATTTTTGAAAAAGGAAAGTGTTGGGAATGAAGCAGGTGATTGGAGCATGTACTGAGTGGAAAAATTAGATTAAACATGAGATAGGTTGAAGTTTCCTCCCTGAAATGATAGCTGAATGGTGAAGAAGAGGCTTGTCAGGAGGATTAAATGAAGTAATACATGCAAAATACCTAGAATGTACTGGCACATAGCAGTTAATTAAGAAGAGCAAGCACTTTTAATTTCCTAGAATGCAGGGTTAATAGTTTTGTTTTGTTTTGGTTGACTTGTTTTTCTGGGGGCATTCTGCCACATGTCAGTGTCATTTAAAAAATAATAACAATAATAAAGGTTAACATTTATTAAGTGACTACTGTGTAGAGTTCTGTCATTCCTGCAAGGCAACTGTTAGAATAATTTATCGAAGGAATGGTTCTTATTTTTAAGGACTCAAAGTGTTTCCTCAGACATGATCTTACTAGCTTTCATGATATATTTTTAGTCTGGTGATGTTATCCTGCCTTATATATGAGACCAGGAAAGAATAAAATCCTTTGTTTAGTTATGATCTGGTTTTAGCCCCAGGCTTTCATATACTTACTCTAATGTTTTATGGATTAGACAAAAACCAAGTGATTGGTTGGCTTAAAGTTTTTGGGCATGGTGACCCTACCAAATCATGCACATGTGGAGACCCATTGTTTACCAGCTTTAAGGGTAGGCTGAGGGAAAAACAAAGTAACACTTTTCTTGCTCTATTATTAGGTAGGAGAAAATGATTTGGGGCGGGAAGGCTAATCCATTTATAACTGAGTTTAGGTACCTGTGCTACACCCATACGGAGACACCCATTATCATTTTAAAGTATTGATCAAGCTGTCAGAGAAGAAGACAAGGCTGCAAATAAAGATTTAGAAACCACCAGAGGATGAATGATAATTGAAGACATGGGAGTGGAGCCCCAGAGAGAAGGTGCAGAGTATAAGAGTGGAGGATTGCACAAAGAACGATGTAAAGAACTGTGGCAGCTGGGGAAAGAAGCAGTGAATTGAAACTGAGTATATATACTTCTGGAAACTTTTGCTACCCATATACCAATATACTCTATACATAAAATTAGACAACACTGTAGATACATTTTCAGAGCCTGATTTAAGGTTTTTCTATTTTTCTCCTAAATAATATTTATTGGAGTTACTTGAGAAAACAGAAACAATGAGAACAAACTTGCCCCATTACCCAAATATGTAGCTTAAAGATTTAAGAAATATTTAGATTAACTTGGGGTATTGAATGACTTTCTTGCCCTGGGTGAAAATGAAATTAACGTTAAGTAACAAAAAGCCACCATGAGGCAGGAAACAGGCCTGACCAGCGTCCATCTGCTCTTGCAGATCTTTTGTCTCCTCTTCTTTCTTCCCATTCTTCTTCCCTCTATTATTTCCTCCTTCTTGGCTAATTGGCAGTAGTCTCTTTGTGTTTCTGTCTTTTGGAGTGAGCATTTAGTTCCCATGACACTAGGTCATGCACCAGGGGACACTTAACACAGAATGATAATGGTGTTTGCTGTGGTGATATGATAACTCTGGGTGTCACTGAATGACAAGGGTTTTTGGAACCCTTTTTGAACAGAGACTGAGAAGGAATTAGTCTTAGCGTGGCACAGCCCTATGTGCCCTGCATGTACTTTGATGCCTCAAACCTGGTATTATTTAGAACAAAATTACTCAGATTTTGGGAACTGGTGTGTGAAACACATATGCGACTGCCTGATTTAGGCAGGCCACAAGGCCAGGCAAGCCAAATGATCATGTTCCGATGTTTTCACATGGGAAATTGCCACTCAATCATTTTGTGAATGGCACATTTCTAGGATTGTGGCCATGATCTCAGCAGCTTATGGGAACAGGGAGGAGATAGTGTTCTCTCTTTAACAAGGGTGGCAACTCCTAGGAAACCAAGAAGGTTAAAAACTCAAAGGATATATTTCTATTTGGGTTTGTTCTCATGTAATAGTTGTATAAATTTAAGTGGGTCTATTTCAGTCAAATATGTTCAAAGTTGAATTTACAAAGATGGAGTATATAGTTATTTATAAATTGGTGCCCCAAATATATTATAGCTTAGCTCGGGAAACTAGTTTTCTTTTTTTTTAAATTCATGTTTTATTTGCCTTAAAAAAAAATTCCAAGCCCTGACCAGTGAGCTCAGTGGTTAGAGTGTTGGCATGCACACCAAAGTATTGAGAGTTTGACTTCTGGTCAAGGGCAAATAATTGGGTTGCAGGTTCAATCCCCTTCTCTGGTCAGGATGGGTGAGGGAGGCAACCAATCAATGTATCCTGTGTCTCTCTCACGTAGATGTTTCTCTTTCAGTTTCTTTAAGAAGGATTATTTTCAATACTTTTTTTCTGAGAGCAGTTTTATTTTTAATTTTTAAATTTACTTTTATTGTTGAAAGTTTTATAGATGTCCCATTTTTTCCGCCCTACTAACCCCTCCACTCTCCACCCTGCAACTCTTCCCCTCCCCCAGGGCTTCTCCACACTATTTTCTGTGTCCAGGGTTTATGGATATCCTATATAATAAAAAGCTAATATGCAAATAGACCAAATGGCGGAACAACCAAAACAACTGAACAACCAAATAATCGGCCGTTATGATGTGTGCTGACCACCAGGGGGCGTGTGAGGAATATGGTGGGCATTGGCTACAACAAGATGGTGGAACAGGTGAGTAGGGGTGACAAAACAAGGCTGAGCGCCGGTCACTTTCATCAGGGAAAGCCTCTGGTGGTTACTGAAAATTGTTTATTTCTGCGTGCTGCGGTCCAGCCTGGCACTTGCACCTGCTGCCGGCACTGGAGCAGCCGCCTGCACCCACTGCCAGTGCTAGCCCTGCTCCCACCCACAGCTGGCATTGGCGCTGTTGCCCACACCTGCTGTCCGTTTCTGGTCTGGTCCTGATCACTTGGTGCCATCAGCGGGTACAAGCAGCAGCTGCGGGCCCTGGTTATCCCTGAGGGCTTCTCCACCTCCCCCTGCTCCTGAGAGGTGGGTGTGAGCAGGGCCTGCGTTGTCAGCACGTGGGAGCGCTGGTGGAGGGAGCAGGGCTGCTAGCAGACAGGGGATCAGGGCCACTGCAGGAGGGGCTAGGTGGGGTCACGGAGGATGGGCGGAGACCTGCCCTTGTGCCTGCTGCAGCCTCGTGGCCACAGTTCATTTCAAGGTGGATGAATTCATGCACTGGGCCCTAGTATGCATATAAGCTCTTTGATGAATTTCTTCCCACTGCCTATCCCACCCCCACCTTCCCTTTGAGATTTGTCAGTCTGTTTCTGGACCTATTTTGTTCCATGCTTGTTCCTGGATCTATTTTGTTCATCAGTTTATTTTGTTCATTGGATTCCACATATGAGTGAGATCACGTGGTACTTCTCTTTCTCTGACTGGCTTATTTTGTCAGCATATATAGTATCCAGGTCACTCGATGTTGTCTCAAAAGGTAAGAGACCCTTCTTTTTTACAGCTGCATAGCATTCCATTGTATAAATGTACCACGGTTTTTTGTTTTTGTTATCCACTCATCTACTGATGGGCACTTGGGCTGTTTCCAGATCTTAGCTGTTGTAAATAGCACTGTTATGAACATA